GTTTATGTTATTGTTTGTGGTGATTTTCCTGGTAAATGTCGGCCTGCAGAGTGATGGTCACCAGGCAATTCTTCTTGAAATTCCATAATATGTGATGAGGACGTTGCTTCAAATGAAGCTGAAGCTTCTGGGGAAGATGCGGTTGTCAGGGGGATGAGAGAACAGAGGAGATGCTTGAATTATTGATGGATTCCTACGATGGGGAGAGGCGCTTGTGAGAGGAGGAGGAGGAGGAGGAGGTGGAGGAGGAGGTGGGTTGCTCTCGTGCTCATTTGGTTTCCATAGCACCGCCCTCGAGAGAGCCGCAGCTTTCATCTTTAAGGGGTTACTGTCCTTGGTTTTAAAAAAATAATAATAATTAAACTAGATTAATAAGCGCAATTTTTGTTTTATAGACAAACAACAGTGGGGGGAATAAACTGACTGCATGAGGTTCCACCACTTTTAAAATAAAAAATTAAACAAAAGAACACATCTAAATATCCATTTATATTTTTGACTGTGGCCCATATGCAGCATCTGTCCAGATGTTGCGCGCGAAGCTGCTGCTGCTGTCGCTGACCTCGGTGCTGAAACACGACGTCAGACGAACCTGCGCTCCACAGGAGACAGACAGCCTCACTCCCTCTTTGATTTGTTGCATCTACACTCCTAAACTCCCTCTTTTGTTATGTGCATTTGATTTTTTTCTTTACTTTTAAGCGCATTAAGTGGTTTATTTTATTATTATTATTTTCTTTTTAGTTGCTGGCTTTTSATCGTGATGGCTCTTGGTTCAGCTGCTGTCCTCCAGGCAGGAGACGAGCTGCTGCTGCTGCGGGATGAAGGCGTCTGAGTCTCTTTCCTTGTGACAGGGTCTCAATATTTATTTATTTGTTCGTTCCCTCCTCGGCGGGGCTCAGAGCCGCCTGCAGGACCGTCGCCTCTGTGCGCGCGCCCCTCCGCTCGCCCCTCGGCTTCTTCGCTGCTTTTCTTTGAGCCGCTGCAGTCGGCTTCATCCTGCGCGGGAACATGACGCCGAGACAGTGAGACCATTCTGACAGGAAGAAAGATTAAAACACGCACGATCCGGATATGGAGTCCATGAAGATGAGAGCCACGGCGGGGGTCAAGGAATTTGCGGGGAAGACCCTGGGTCAGATGTACAGGTAAAAAAAACAAACATGCATTTATTTTTTATTATTTTTCGTTGTGATTATTTGCTTCAAAAGCTTCACCTGAAAAAGTCGGAAGGCTAACGGGGACCTTTGGTCACGCCTCTGGATGTGAGAATAAAATTATGTAACCCTCGTGTGTGTGTGCGCGCGTGCGTGCGTGAAGTGTTTGCGGGGTTTGGATGCCTCTGGATGCTGCAGGGGCCTGAACTGATCCAGGTGCAGACGGTGCATCTTATGTTTAGACATGGTTTAGATGCAGAGTTTTACATAAACACTTTAAATTTATCACGTTAAAAAAAAACACATTTCTTCACATTTAGAATGAAGCTGTTTTCTTCTGGTTTCTCTGAAGTAAATGTGAGGCTGGCTCCGTCTGCAGCCCGAAATGTACAGAATGCGTTGCAATGAATTTAATTTTCTTTGAGTTTTTGTGGCTGTATGTCTTTTTTTCTGCAGCTAAAAAAGGCCTTACGAATCCCCAGCAAGTCATAAAAAATATCAAAATTTTCCTTTATCCACATCCTTATAAATCAACCTAAATGTTGCTTTTTATTCCAGAAATGCTGTTTAAAATGTTCGTTTTTATTTAAATGCATCAAAAGAGAGAGAGAAAAAGATTTACAGCAATGAATGAGGAAAAAAAAAGAAAAGAGGAGTTTGAGGGAAGCCCAGCTGCATGTTCTGTTCCTGAATGTTAATGAGCAGAAGTGCTGCTGCAATGCGGTACAGTCAGAAACATTTTGCTCCTTTTTTTTCCAACTTACAGACCAATAATATGCTCCTTTATTTATTGCACTGTTTTATTCTGAGCACCATTTGTTTCTACTCACTGCCCATGTTTACCATTGGCACCATGAGACAGAAAAAGAGGAATACTCTCCTTAAAGATTAAGATATAAATAAATCTGTTTGATCCATAAATCCTCACATTTTTTAAAAATAAAAATAACATCCAGATGATTTGAAGCCAATCATAAAGCTTCTGGTTGGTTTGTGGTGGAGTTTAGGCTGTTGTTGGATTTATTAAATGTATTTTTCAGGGTGATAGAGAGAAGGCAGAAAGGCGGGGAGGTGATCGAGCTGACGGAGGACGGGCGGCCCCGGGAGGCCGCGGAGAAGAAGCCCCCACTGTGCGACTGCACGTGCTTCGGTCTGCCCCGCCGCTACATCATCGCCATCATGAGCGGCCTGGGCTTCTGCATCTCCTTCGGCATCCGGTGTAACCTGGGCGTGGCCATCGTCAGCATGGTCAACAACAGCACCGTGCACCAGAACGGCAAGATCATCATCAAAGAGGTGTGGCGGCGGATCCCACCATGTTGAACCCNCACACACACACACACACACACACACCCGCTGCTGTCCTTGGGTCAAACTGACCGCCTCAGCTGTCCTTTTGACACAAAAACAACAGAAAGGCCCCAGTTTTACTTGAGGCCTTGGGGGCCATCTTGACCCATGGAGGCTTAAAAAAATAAAATAAAATGTAAATAAACAACAAACTAGAGCAGATATGTTTTTAATTAGCTGCAGAAATCTAAATATTTCGATTAAAATGTTTCATATTCCAGTATGGTTTCAAATAATAAACACAGTAACGTAATAAATAATAAAAAAAATATTCCTTCATCCTGTTTATGTCAATTTGCTTTTGTTCATAAGATTATTGGTCAGGTTTGGAATAATCTGTGGTTCTGAAGCTAAGTGTGGAAACCATGCACATCTGATTTAGTTTGGTCAATAATAAACAAAATTCAAAAACACTAAATCAGATTATTTGATTATCCTAAATAAAATGCTACAACTAGGACTAATTTAGGTGATTCTTTTTTTCACAAAGCAAATAAATCTGACATAAAACATGTGCTAATTCTTAATAATTCGCAGATCAAATAAAACTTTTAAAACATTTAACAATTTATCATAAGTCTTGATTATTATCAATGTGAAAACACTTAAATCAATACTTGTTTCATAAAAGCTAAATTTGGGGAGGGGCGTAAAAAATGACGTTTCAGAACAAAAAATGTCAAACTAAAAATGTTCAAATTCGCTCATTTAAAATCTTATATTCAACTAAATGTTTTTTTATTCTACTAAATAATAAAGCTGTCTTTCTAAGCTTGTCTTAAAAATGTCAGGTTTTAATCACCGGATTACTGACATGAGAGCGTTTGATGAAATAAATTAATAAACATGTTGTGATTTTGTGAGGTAAAAAAATCTGCAGAGTCACGTTTTCTCTTCAGTTTTCGTTTTATTCTGATTCTCTCTGTTCTGCACCAGAAAGCCAAGTTTAACTGGGACCCGGAGACCGTGGGGATGATCCACGGCTCGTTTTTCTGGGGGTACATCGTGACACAAATCCCGGGAGGATACATCTCCTCCAGGCTGGCAGCAAACAGGTCGGACCCCCCCCCCCCCCCCCCACACACACACACACACACACACACACACACCCCTCCTCTTCTTGTCTGTTCTCATAAATAACACACATTTAGATTTATTTTTAATCTCATGTTTGTCCACAGATTGTAGGAAAAAAAAACTGGCGGCTGCAAAAACTGGTTTTATTTTTATGTTTCCGTTTTCATTCAGATTTTGTTTGTATGATAAAACGATCAGTAATAAATCAGTATTAAAACAGGGTGATGGGTTCAGATCTGAAGCAGACAGACTGACAGACGTGGGGGTGTGGAGGGGGTTTCAGGGCTTTCTGCCACCTGTTAATGAGCTCCCATGGGGAGGAGGAGGAGGAGGAGGGGGGGGGGTGTCTGGTCTGTAGCTTTCTCTCGGGGCATGGACTCCAGACCCGCCCTGCGCGCCAGAAAGCCTTTAATTCTCACGCGCTCTGCCAACACATTATTATGACCTTATATGGAAGTCCGGCTGTAAAGTCAACATGACGGCGCTCAATTCAGGTGCTAAATTTGGACAAAGGTGTTCAGCAGTGAATTAAAAATAAAGATATTCCTCTTAAAGCTGCAGCAGAGGCCTAAACGAGGCCCTGTGCGGTTTTAAAATAAACTAATGAACAAAAAGACCAACATTAATATTTATTTTTGTTTTATTATAATAGATGATTAAATAACTCAAACATGACGCTCATAAATCTGCACACTGTCCCTTGTTTTAATAGATTTTTATCACCCTCAGTTTTGTCTCATCCGGTTGATTGACAAGAGGCTTTAATAATCGAATCATTTGGTCTCGTGCCCAACAGTAATCTCCACCGGATTAGGGTTTGGCCCCCCGCGTGCAGATGAGAGGGGCGGGAGAACGTGGCAAGGATGAGAAACAGCTCGGTGTGTTGATGGCCTTGGCTCAGGAGCAAAAAATWAAAAAAAGCTATTTGTTTATTCTTATTTTAATTAAAAACTAAACATTTTTCTCTCGTTTTTTATGATTTTAAACCTTGAAAAAAAAACAGCACCATGATTTTTTTTTCTTATTGAATGTGGTTTAAAATGAACAGATTTCCATGAATTTCCCCCCCAGCAGAGCAGAGGTGCAGCGTTGCCTGGCGACAGTTAAAGGGGCGTTGAAATATTTATTTCTCTGACGACAAAAGAGCTGAATGTTGAAGGTCCAATCAGAACTGCGTGGATGGAAGGGTTTTAAATACGAAACAGAAACAAAGATGGGCTCATTTAAAAAAAAGTGGGATCTAAAACAAAAACACAAGACAAGAATATGTAAAAAAAAAAAAAGAGCAACCTAAACAAATTATATATTTTAATATATAATTTTTTTGCTTCCATTTTGCAGGGTTTTTGGTGCAGCCATTGTCCTCACCTCCACCCTCAACATGTTCATCCCCTCTGCAGCCCGAGTCCACTACGGCTGTGTCATATTTGTCCGAATATTACAAGGACTGGTGGAGGTAGGAGCACCTGAACATGTCAAACAGGGTTTATTTCATGAAGAAAAGCCATGCAGAATGTGTCCTCAGCATCAGAGGCTTTGGTTTAACTGTAACATCGACTGCAGCCAGAGGAAATGTGAGATGAGTTTTATTGATCCACTACAGCTTGAAAAGGACATTCCTGCCTTTTTTTTCCCATCTCATTTTGCATCCTGGATTACATGTAAATACAGATTAAAGACACACCAGTCACCTCAGATGAATGCTTTGTTTGGTATTTCTGTAAAATAGATCAAATAAGAAAAACCCATTTCAGACTGAACTGTTAAAAAAACAGGTTAACTGTTTTCTACAACTGCATGTTTTATTCTGATTAGTGGCTGATGAGCAGCTCATCGGGTTTGTTTTGGTGATAATCGAGGTGAAAGTGTTCAGTTTAGTTGATTTTTGTTGCAGACATGTGTTTCATTCTCCATAGATTTCCTCAGACAGGATTTAAATTAAGCAAGAAGGTGAAATAGTTGTCAAGGCCTCATAAAACAGAATAAACAATAAAAACGAACACTGAGCCTTTACTGTTAGTTGTTGAAAAATGAATTATTTACTGAATCGTTCAAACAACTAGAACAGAAGCTGAAATCCGCAAAACTGTTACCTAAAATTAGCCAAACTGTAGACAAAAGCTAAAAAAGCTAAACAACGTAGCCTAATGGATAAAATTAGCACAACAGCTAAAACTGCGTATCACAATTCAATCTAAAAACTAGCTGTAGCTAAAACCTTACTGAAAGGTTAAATTAGCAAAACAGTCATTAAATTCTGAAAGTAGCAAATCATAACTAAATCCAAATGTTAGCAAAACTGTAGCAAAGATTGCAGCTAACAGTATAGCTAAAAGCTACCAACTGCTATTAAAAACATAAACAGTGTCAAAGAGCTAAAATGAGCAAACATGCCTAAAAGCTAAAATTAGCAAATCTGTAGCATATAAACTAAAATTTACTAAATTAACTAAAGCTAAATAAAAGCTACAGTAGCTAAAAAAGTGCATAAGAAAAATACAGTATGTTTAAATTTTTTTTAAAGGAACTGAAAAGAGTTTGATGCATTTCTATGGGGGCGGAGTTGTAAATGAAGTTTAACAATTCAAATAATCCCCCCTTAATTAATTAATGCATAAAAGTAATAAATACTAAAAGTTTTAGCACAGTATTTCCAATTGATCTGGATGTTGTGCTGTATTATTGGGTTGTTTGATTTCCAAAATAAATTATAAACATGAAAAAGTGAACAAATAGTTAAAAAAAGGTAAACTTTTCCAAAAGGAAGAGTTTGTGTGACGGTTCGGATCAAACGACTGATCCAGCTGCTCCTGTGTGGTGCTCAGGGAGTGACCTACCCGGCCTGTCACGGCATATGGAGTAAATGGGCTCCGCCGCTGGAAAGGAGTCGTCTGGCCACCCTCTCGTTTTGTGGTAAACAACTAGTTTCATGTTTTTTACCCTGCATTAATAAAAAATACACCCTTCAGAATCTCAATTTATTTTTACTAAAACATGTTAACCTTCCAGGTTCTTATGCTGGTGCTGTGATAGCCATGCCTCTGGCCGGGATTCTGGTTCAGTACACAGGATGGTCCTCAGTGTTCTACGTCTACGGTAAGACTGACTAATGAGACGTAATCAATCCAGTCACATAACAGAAAATAAATATATGTATACATCTTATATCTCAGCCCGTTTAAGAGTTTCACAGCTCCAGAGTCCAGTGAAAGTCAAATGGATTTATCCGGGCAGACTGGGCATTGATTTCTATCCCCGTTGTTTTGCTCCATCGATAAATAATCCCCCATCTTTCCCTCTAAACTGGATCCAGTCCGCTTTCCTGTCTGAGTWTGATTCTCTCGGGCGTTTTGCTCACTGATGAGGTCAAAATGAGCTTCAGCTGATAATTAACCAAAGATCTGCGATGTGTTCTGTTTTCCAGGGTGCTTTGGCATTTTCTGGTACATGTTCTGGATTCTGGTGTCCTATGAAAGCCCAGCCGAACATCCCTCCATCTCRGACGAGGAGCGCTGCTACATCGAGGAGAGCATTGGAGAGAGTGCCAAGCTGATGGGTCCTTCAGAGGTACAACTCTGCGGTCTTCATCTTTCGTCTGGTCTGGTGGTTGTTGCGCCTGAAATTCCGGGGTGAATGTTCTCCCTGTTCTTTTCCAGAAATTCAAGACCCCCTGGAAGAAGTTCTTCACCTCAATGCCCGTCTATGCAATCATTGTGGCAAACTTCTGCAGGAGCTGGACGTTTTACCTGCTGCTGATCAGCCAGCCTGCATATTTTGAAGAAGTGTTTGGCTTCGAGATAAGCAAGGTGAGCTTCCAGCACAGCTTCGGAATGCTTTGCTCTAAAAATTCCCGATGAATGATTTCGTGTTGACTCTCTCTCTTTGGTGTTTTGGTGCATTTGCAGGTTGGTATCCTCTCTGCTCTCCCACACTTGGTGATGACCATCATCGTGCCCATCGGCGGTCAGCTGGCCGACTTCCTGCGCAGCAAGAACATCCTGACGACCACCACTGTCAGGAAAATCATGAACTGTGGAGGTGAGACATCTGARCTGTGGATGAGTGAAAGATTTCCACACCTCTCTCTCTGCACAGCCACAGGGTGTGACTTCCACATTATTGTTTTTTTCTCCTCTGGTTTCTTTGAACAAACAGAAACGATTCTGTTTATATTTTTGTAAAARATCTGTTCGATACTTCAGTCCAAGAGTTGACTCACTGATTGTGACGGTGCATTGATCTCATATCTGTCACCAACATAATTGAGTGCAGAACATGTATCACATTTAATTCAATTGGCACCAGGCTGACCAGCACCCTGTGGGCTTTGTGTGTGTGTGTGTGTGTGTGTGTGTGTGTGTGTGTGTGTGTGTGTGTGTGTGTGTGTGTGTGTGTGTGTGTG